GTTGCTGTATCCTGCAGGAGCTGAAGCTATCGAGTGTTTTGAAGGTTCATCTCCATACAAAGTGCACTAGAGAGGGTTAGCAATCAGAAGGCCAGACTCCAAAGAAGATGACACAAATTTTGGCTGAGGCAGTTGCTACTTCCCGAAGTCCAGAGTGGCTGGAGATCCAACAGGACCTACTTGTAAACCTGAGTGATGGACAGATGAACTCTGTAATTGCTCAAGTTCTGACTGAGCATAAGAAGGAATTTAAATGCCTCTAGATCCCAGGATTCTAGATCTGGATCCCATATGGATACCTGAACATTAAATGTTTATGAGGCTTTATAAAAATGTTGGCCTTTGGCATGTCTCACTGAAATGAAGCAATTGAAAAACTTCATAGATAGAACAGTTACCATGGAATTTCCATATGAGGACATAAATAAGTCAAATGCCACAGAATATATGAAGAAACATTCTCCTTCCTGTGTAATTACATTTCACATTGTTTCTAACAGAAGAGAAGTACAGTTGATTGGAATGGAAATTTGTAAATGTCCCCAGATCTTTAAATGGGGATGTAAGGTGAGGACCTTAAACTGGAGTTTTTGAGATTGCAATACATGAGTAATGCCACTGTTGTTATCAGATGTAACACCCAACTGGATACTAACGGGTTATTCAACAGTAATCGGCATTTGACATTATACAAAGTGATCTTTAGTCCTATTTCACCTGTTGTTATATGAAATTTCTCTTTTAAGTGGAAGCTTCTGAATATTTGTTTTATATACGCTCCATAAATGTAGTTGTGCTTTGTCTTTTAGATTAAGCATAATACCAAATTAATGTATGTGAAAGGATATTCATCTCCAATTAAGTATTTTGTGTTGTTTTCATAGGTTTCCCCTGACCTACAGAATGAAGTGCTTATTAGCCTATTAGAGACTGACCCAGATGTTGTGGACTATTTGTTGAGGAGGAAAGCTTCCCAGTCATCGTGAGTAATCTGTATTTTCATCATCCCTGTTTCTGCTGGGAATTTCTATCTCCCACTGGAAGTGTTCAAAAGGTTCTGGTTTTCCACAGCTCTTCTGCACTGTCTACAGTGGAGTAGAAATATCCTCCCCATTACAGAGACTCTGCCAAAGAAATTATGACTCTTGTACGGTGTTTTCTAAAGACGAATCTCGTTTCCCGATTCAGAGGAAAGATTGCGTTCTGCTTCAGAGAACACAATGACATGTACATAAAAATATTCAGTGCACTATTATCTGACAGGATGTATTCTAGTGAACTGCTGGTTCGTGTCTTGGGTTTGTTGTAGTCTTCAGTAACAGGAGGCGTGTATTACACTATCCTTGAAACACACCCTACAGTGCCTTAACATGATCACGCCTAGCCATTTGACCAATTTGTTGGGTTTTTTCCTATTGTATACACGTAGGACATTGTAAATAAGTCAACTGGCACAACAGCAGGTTTGTGGAGACGCTTTGGATGTTATTTAATTGTATGCCTTGTGAAAGATCTGAAGAGAAAAAAAAATCACACCAGTCACTATTGCAGTTATGATACATAAGGTATTCCAACTTTGTGTATGTTGTATATGTATGCCTACACCCATGTGCCTTAACGCTGTGAGTTTGTACATTTGGATTAACAGGATTTGTGGCTTTCTCATGGGACACACAGTCATTGCCTTTATTCTAGTGAATCCCAGTATATCAGACCCAAAAATCACAAAATTTGACAAGCTTGCTTTAAGTAATTTTTAAGAGGTGCACTCTTTGGGACAGATTGGACTTTGTCTTCCTGTGTGTGTGGAAAGTGCCTAGTGCATTCAGAATATAATTAAATTTGAATTTGTACAGTCAGTTAGCTATGATTTTTTTCTCTCCCTCTGATCATTGTGTATAGTTGGAGGTAGTGTAATAGTGTGCCTGACTTTAAGGGAAGGGGTATAAAAGAAATAGTGTAATTAACACATGGAGGAAAAAGCTTTAATTATAAAAATTAAAAACAAAAAATACGTGCAGAATATATCATGTGTTGTAAAGGATTTTATTGGTTTGTTGACTTAACCACAAGAGCACATAACATGCAGTAGCAAATTATCACAGATCATCTGACTTGTGGTAATTGTCTCTGTGTGTTTTCTTAGTGTACCATAGACGTGAAATAATTTCTGTTAGTTTACATCTGACTGACAAGTAACCATGTGTATATTTAGATCACAATAAATGCAGGATAATTAGAGGTGTATGTTAGCTGTGTTTTACACTTGTCTCACATTTGCCATGAGCCCAGACCACAATTAGGAGAGACACTGCAAATCACATGACATATGGTAAAGTCTGTAGAGACTTCTTTCTTTAAGCCCTCCGTTTGGAATGATTGTATTATTTCCAGCTCTAGCTAATAAAAACTTTCATGTTGGATTTCACCATCTATATAGTAGAAAGACAAAATTCTATTATTGTTAGATCCTGTTTCCTTTAACTTAATCCACCTTTCCTTGAGCTTCCTTGCTTTTGAGCCAGCATGCACACCTACAAATGAATCTTTTGTGCAAAGCTGGTCACAACTGACAAAAGGGGTTTTGTAAGAAAAGGTTATGAAACCAAATAGGACCGTATAGCTACACTAGTACTAATTTATTGTATTTTCAGTAATGGGCAGATGAAGTATCACTGAGATAGGAAAAACTTACTATCTGTCATTTTTCTTCTACTCTGCTATCATGTAAGTGATGTATTCTTAATGTTAATGAGATATGTTTTCACTGTGATTGCAACTTCTTGATTAAGATATTCCAGGCAATTAGAGGGAATGTTGCTTAGTGTTATTGCTAGGAGGGTGATGCTCTTAAGAGATTAATCTGTTTCAGAACATAATCTCAATTTTGAGCCTACATATGTGTTGGTTGTTTTTCTTGTAAGAAATGTGAGGCAGCAGACAACAAGGAGATGTTTGTCTTGATTTGATAAAACTGAGCCTCCAAAATACATCCTTACTACTCTTGGAACTTTTCTGGTCATGTACTCAAGATCCAAATTTGGATCTGTGGAACAGAAAACTTTACATATTCTTGAGACGATCTTCATCAGAAAAGCCAGTTGGCTGCATAGCACAGAATATGGAAAATCAGCTTCAAGACTTTCATATCATATTAATTGCTCTGAAGGTCCTGCTTCTGCAATTGCCTTCACATTTCTGCTTTTGTTGTCATTACAAATGCTTTCTTGGCTCTGATCTCACAGAGAAAACACAATCTCTTTTCCTCCCCAGCGGAGGACAAATCAGATGTTCCTCATCTTTCAGTTCTCTTAAGAGCTGAGCATTGTGAATGGAGTGTCAGGGAGTTATGGAAGTCAGTCGTGGTAAAGCACTAATTACCGTTGGCAGCAATTATGAAGTGTGCTTTTGTGGATGACTTCCCAACCTTTTTGTGTGTTGGCTTGATGACAATGGAATTTGGGGTGTCCAGCTGTAAGATGAAGCATCTTTAAACTAACACAAAAATAAAATCTGTTTCTTATCATGGTTAGTAGTCCTTTGAGAGTAAATGAGTTTCAAAGTTACAGAATTTTCCAGTGTTTTTAGATGAAATCATCTTTGTGCCACAGGTCAGGGTGGAAGACGTACAATAGGCCATACAGCATGCGTAAATGCAGTTTTCAAAGCTGCAGAGGCTTCCTGAATCGTTGAGTCCTCTACCCTGTTACAGTAGCAACCACATCATAATCCCGTAATAATCTCTCTTGTTGGTGGCACCTGTGTTGCTCAAATGCGTATGGAAATTACTACTGCGTGCTGCCAAGCCGTCACACTCCGTATGATTTGCCTCTTGTAAGACATAATTGTTTTCCCACTCAGAAACTTTGAGATATAACAGAAAAAGATTTCTGCCAAAACCAGAAAGGGATTTCCTGTTTTGATGACCTTGATGCCAGTCGGAAAGTAGGAATATCCCCAGTAGAAGTAATTATTATTACTAACTTTTTTCCAGTTCACCCATGCAAGTAGACTGTGGTGGATAACATCAATTCAGAAGGACGCTGGTTAAAAAGGAAAACCCGAGACTCCTTCATAGTGTAGTTGATTTTTGGTTTGGAATCTGAAATAGTTTTTGAACATGTGGCATAGGATCCTTCTGCAGCTTTCAAATCTTTCAGTTTGTATGTAACCACTTTTTAAGTCTTCTCCTTAACATAGTTCATAACCAGTGGAAAATACTTTACCTACCTTCCCATTTATTGCATTTGATACTACATAATCTTCTATTACTCTTTGTGGAGACCATAATCTGCCCTTACTCACAGACTGCATATAGACGAGTGGGTATCTTGCATGCTATTTACATTTGCCTCCCAATTTAGTTTTTCCCCAGTGTGTGGGAAGAGAATCTCACAGCTATCCAGGGGAACATGAATTTTGAATTTTAATAAACATCCTTTTGCTACTGAACTCAAACCATAAAGCAAACAGATACAAAAGTTTTGCTTTAAGGAATATGTGAGAATTGATTCTTTCTTTGGAAAAATGCAAACCAAAGTATTTTTGCAAGTTGTGTTTTATTTTGTTCGTGAAGAGCATGGTAAAGCTGCAAATGTATGAGATCAGTTTCAAACTTTAAAGTATTCAATCTATTTTGATGGTTTCTTGTAGTAAGATTGGCAGAGTCCACAGGCATTTGCTTTGATTTTTAAAACTTATTTTTTCTAAACAAATTTTATATATATGTAATTGCAAGGGCTTACTAGCAGAAACTGTAAATGAATTTAGAAATGTGAACATTTGGATCTTTCCAAAGACTTGACAGTTTCGATTCGAGTAAATTTTTATCAGGACCTCTGTCTTGAGAAGAGATAGACTATAACAGACCATTCAAGGTAAGACATGAAATCAGTGTTTCACAAAGCTCAAGTTTATGTTCCCACGTTCTTTCGTTTCCGTTTTCCTTTCCCCTATTCCTTGTGTTACCTTGCCATGGCTAAGTGGTGACATACCTCTCTCTTTGTCCTATGCGGCATAGTTAGGTTTTGATCCTGCAAAGATGTACATGTGATAAGCCTTATTGGTGTCATCGTTAGTGCTAAGTATGTCTGTATGCTAGCAGGGTGAGGTTTAGACGGTTGTTCAATCTGGAAAGCTGGAGAGAAAGACATTTGGTCGTAGGAAACCTACAGATACCAACATTTCTCTCCTTTTTTCTCAGATCTTTCTGTTCTTCTAGAATTCCCAAGACATTGCTTAAATTTCATGTTGACTCACTGCACAAGATTTTTTGGTACTGAGGAGGGCAGAAAGAAAGGAGTAAGGGACTAAAAAGAGAAAAAAGATTTGGGATAGAATTGCACCTACTTAAAAGACAATAATTCCTCAGTGTGTGGCTGCTTATAGACTAATTGGCAGTGGACTCATCTTCAGATGAGAAGTTGAGATGGGAAGTTAACAGAATTGAGGCATGATGTCCTTTTTTTTGGTATTACATTACCATACCAACCACACTGGGAACCCTGGGACAGCACTACTTTGCCAAATGGCAGCGCTGGTTTTTTGAGTTGGCCCCACTTAAGGTTCAGATCAGTTCAGTGACAGATTTCTTGCTCAGAGTTACCAAGGAAGTTAATTCATTCCTGACACTTTATGGTTGCTTTTGTACTGGGGAAAAAAAATAATATTGAATAACACAATAATCATGATGTTGAGTGTATATATTTTATGTTTTGGGACATGCAATGTAAATTGGCCAGGAAAAAACCCAACAGCTTGAAAGTGGTATAAAGTTTTCTCATTATGTCTGTATTAATATTTAGTGTGCTGTGGCTAGCCAGTCTTACCACTGTGTGTTTTCTTTATTTTCTTTCTTCAGTTTTATTTCATTTGTCTGGAAAGAGGGTTATTGTTCCATAACAAGTAATGTGCTTTGGCCGTTCCCTCAGTTCAAGCTCTCTTTGGGTTTGAACTCTGAGAAGGGCTGACCGTTCTCAGTACACATTTAGAAGAATGAGCGTCTGTCATACCGCGCTCCGTTAGAGCAGGTATTAATGTGAGGTCACCGAGAGAAGTGTCTGACTCGAGAGAAGAGAAAGATAAGCATCTAAGAAACAAAGATCAAGATGCAAAGAAATGAAAAATGAGAAATAGAGATATAAATTAGAGAGGACTGCTAGGAAAAATGTTATGTTTGTTTACAGACTATTTCTACATATTCTTTAGGAGGTTCAGTGACTCACGGACTGCCTCCTAGTTGCGTAGTAAACACTAACAGTTCAAGAAATCTCCCTCTAACCTTCCCAACAAGTTTCAAAAATTAAAGTTGTCTCTCTGAGCCTTGGCTGTACTTTGGTGGGGGGTTTGTTTGCCTTTTTTTTTTTTCTTTTTTTTTTTTTTTGTCAAAATTAAGTGCAGGCCATGCTGTTGGTGGTGTAAAGGTGAAAGGATAAAAGAAATTGTAGAAGTTACCAGCAGAGCCAGTTGTTTGTTGCCCCCATTAGAAGTACAGTAGATACATCTGCTTGTCTCCTGTAGAATATTTACCTTCTGGTGCTTCCAGAAGAGGATCCTTATTATAGCCTGAGAGGCAAGCTAAGGTTTTGATTTCTCTGGCTGTGTAGTACTTCAGAATGGAAGAAGTGATTTTAGCATTCTGCTTAGCATCAAACTGATCTTCCCTATCATGCCCTCAGGTTTACTGTTGCAACAAGCTAAATTGTCAAGGTGACATAAGGAATTGATTGACTATTTCATTTCCTGTGATGAACTGTACGGTTGTGTGGTTTTTGTTGTTTTTCTTTCGTGACTGCAACATCTTTTGATTTTTAGTGGCCTCTGCTGGCCACTTCATGGCTAAAGTTTTACTCATGGAAAATTCACCTCTGTACTGCTTCTGAAACCTTTTCATTTCAGCAGCTGTGATCATACTCCTGTATTTGATTTTATTTATATGATGTCAAACTGCACCTGTAGCTGTGAACATAGAACATTTTTCATTAACAGTAGTTTGTTTATCAAAATTTCTCAGGAGCCCTGAGATGCTGCGGTCAGAAGGTTCCTACTCCACAGGAGGAAGACATTCTTCCACAGACTCCAACAAAGCTTCGAGCGGAGATGTCTCCCCTTACGACAACAACTCCCCGGTACTATCTGAGCGCTCCCTGATGGCAATGCAAGAAGAAGTTGCCCGCAGCCCAGATAAGCTGTACAAGGTACCTGAACAGTACACGCTGGTTGGACATTTGCAGCCTAAGACAAAGGAGAGTTCTTCTGCATCACAGGCAAGAAAAGGTAGAGTACATCCTGCTCGTGTTCCTCAATGACTGATGGGGGTTTCTGAACTAATTGAAAAGTGTCGGTTTTGTATTATCAGCTACCAGGATTTGAGGAGCAATGGTGTAAATAACCTTACAAAAACCAACTCAGCAACATCATTTTTTTTGTGTTGTGCCTGAAGGATCCTTGTGTGCTCAGCCAGCTGTCAGGGATGCTCTTGGTATGGCATTTCTCAAAATTTGGTGCTGTTATTTAGGAAAATAGAGCTATGCATGTCCTGCTTTTCAGGCTGTCTGTGACAACATGGCGAAGACCGATTTCTAGTCCTGCTCTGTAGGACTGTAATAGCTACAAGGTTATGGTCTGGACTTTGAAAAAATCTGACACTTTTGGACATCAAGCTACAAATTTTCTCAAGTTGAACTGCACAGCTTTACGCCTGCTACCAATTACACACCTAGCAATGCTAGTGCAGAGATCCGTAATTTCCATAGCTATCTAGGGAGTGCACACCTGAATAGTTTCTTCTGTAAAGAACTGTGGTTTAAACTGATAGCTCACCAGCACTTCAAGATGGTTTTCATTTTAAAATATTTTTTGAAAAAATATTTATGGCCATGAAATGCATATTTAGTGAGACAAACTTTTAAGAAATTTCAGTGCTTAGGGATGCAGATACCTGTTCGGTGATATTTTTAAAACTATTTCATTTCAGAGGTACTGGTTAGGCACTTAATTCCCTTTGGAATTAATGAGATTTAGACAATTATGTCAATTATATGCTTTATAAATGCCAATGGGCATTTATCTTCTGTATTCAGCATCTAAATCTCTGAATAGGTTTCAAAATTTGGTCAGATTTCTAGCAAGTTATGAACAGGAAATTGGACTTTAATATGCATCACAGCGACGCTGGACTATGACAAATTAGGAAATTTCTTTCCTGCCAGATGGAATCAGAAAAAGGCGTGAAACAGTTATAATCCAGCACAATGGCTGATGCGTGCATTTCATTAAATCTCTATTTTGCGACAGCACTTTGGTGTAAGACCCAAGCGATGCTGCAGGTAGATAGAGCGTTCCATTACAGTGACCCCAGGGGCTGGGGCTGCCTGAGGGAGCTTTGCCATTCTTTCCCATAAAAAGCACATGAACTACCTTCTGTTGACCAAATCCTCCTGTTCTTGGGCAAATTCTTAACTGACTTCAGTAAGGAAGAGGAGTTAAGGGAAATTCCAGTCTCTCAGCAAACTCAGGCATCCTGCCCATACAGAGCTTACTGAATCCATTTCAGGGTCTGAGCCTAAAACAGCAAGTAACTGTCAACAAATATGTTTGTGTTAAGTGCACGGTAGGTCAGATGCTAGTATATGTTAATGACTTTGATACCTTACATAAGGTTTTACCATTCCAATTGTATGTTTCTAAATAATGGCTTTAAGAGGATTGATTCATCGTCATCTTCCTGCTCTTACTGCTATTTAGATGTTTCCGAAGATCATTTTGATATCTGGGGCACCTGGCATTCAACGCTGAAAAGTGGCTGCAAAGATCCAGCAATGACAGGTCAGTTATTTCTCAAGTTTTAAGCCCAAATCTAGCAAGAAATAAACAATTTCTTGGTTTTGAGAAATCACAGTGAAACCAGTAGGAGAATTCACGTTGTCCAGTGTTGGACTTATAAAAGGTGACTGTTCAATACAATGCAGAGAAGCGCAGTGGTTATACAAATGCAGCAACATTTCAAACGGTCACAAGATATTTCAAAAAGTCATTTTAAAATTACTTCCAAAAATAGTTTTTATATTCTTTTAAAAGTCCTTGGAGGGTGGACGCCCGTTGAGGATTTGAGAGTGGCTGCTGTGGCGGCACAAGCACAGGCTGTGAGGTTGGCAACCCTGGGTGCTGATGCTGCTGCTGGCTGACGTCGTCCCAGCAAGTCCCAACCTGCCTTTGTTTGTCTCCCATCTGCACCCACCTCCCAGAGGAACTGTGAGCCTGAAACATGTTTTCGAGCTAAAACATGCTTTTTGAGCATTTGAGAGATGCGAAGTGCTGCAAGGCTTTATGTCAGAGCAAAGTATTAGAGTCACCGGGTAATTTATTAGATGTGGTTTAGATGGATGTAGGGCTGCTGCTGCCAGGTTCAGCTGGCGTTGAGGCTGATACACTTTTAGTCACACAACCTGATGATGAAAGCCCCCATCCCTGTCCTACAGTGTGACACAGGGGAAAAGTAATAGCTTGTTAAATGCCATGTACGTGATTACACAGACTGATGTTGTCTTTCTGACTCTGGCCCCCAGGTTCTTACGGGAACATTTACGAAAGCAGCTTGCTGCAGCCCGGACAGTGCTCTCTTTCCCAGGGGAACCTCGCTGTGTATTCTCCTCGGTGGCAGGGCAGCTCCTCCGAACTGGACCCCGGCAGACAGGTCATGCGAAGGAGCCAGACGACTGCTGCCATTCCCGAGTGTCAGCTCCAGCCCACGGTGTCTCGGCTGTGCAGTAACCTGCAAATGGAGGTCGGCAGTAGGAGTTCAGACCTATCGCACTCAAAGTCGGAGCAGCACTTGACTTTAAGCAGTGTGGAGGACCTCAGTGAACGTGACTCCAACGCGGGTTGTTCACAAAGCACAGCCAAGCCCTCCTACAGAAAAGAGCGGCCACCACCTCCTTACCCAGGTCCAGCAAAAACAAGCTCTGCATTGTCACAGCGATCGAGTGTTTCTTCAACGTTACACTCTTTGTGGAGATTTCAACGCCAAGAAAAAAGTTCAGGGACCAGGGCAGCTGGAGGACCACCAGCCAAAGCCCCTGAGCAGGCCATCTCCAGGCAGGAGCGACCGGCCCCGCACACCCAGACAGGTCGCATCTGTTCCACGTCTCCTCACAGTCAGAACAGTAAAAATGTTTCAGAGGCAGACTGGCATGATTGGCAAAGGGAGAGGTGGCAGATTTGGGAGCTGTTATCGGCTGATAACCCTGATGCCCTCCCAGAAACCCTTGTATGATCGGACCCTGCAGAACTGCCACTCATACCTACGTGTCCGTCTCATAGGAAAACAATGGTGACATTGGAAAACGCGGAGGGCTTGTTTCTTTTATACCAACTGAATTGCATATACTTTTTTTAAACTTTGTTCACTTTAATTTCTTAACAGCACTGTCAAGCAGTCCATTTACAAACATGGTATGTTCCTGTTTTTCAGCAAGCTTTTGAGAAAAAACAAGATGAAAATTTTAGTCTAATAACTCTGTATGCATATGCTGTGTATAAGATAAAACTGTTGCTTTGGTGTTGCTAAAAATGTATTTATATATCTGCAGTTTTGATGATTGTATATTCTGTAATGGGTATTGTATGATAATCATATATTATGTTTTCATATACAGATGTCAATCAATCATGACTGCTTTTTTTTAAAATCACTGCACTTACATTACCATGATATGCATTGGAATTCTATAGAAAGTGCACAAGCTGGTTTCTGTGCTTATATATATTAAAAAAAAAAAACTGTTAAAGGGGGAAGTTGTCCTTCCTTTCACTGCCTATTGAAAAACACTAAAATAGAGTGGAACGTGAAAAGCCATATATTTTATAAGGGTAGTAGTGAGGTTAGAGGGGAAAATACCAAATATTTTGTTTTCTTATAAATATATTTGCAAACGGAATTAAAATTTGATACAAGATGGTAAAAATATTTTTTTTAGATTCTGGTAGGAAGCAGCTCAGAGAATCAACTAAGAGCAAGGCCTTGCCTAAACCAACTAAGGATGTAGTGCGAAGGTCTGCCCTCCCATTCTAGAGGAAAACCAGTGTTATGTATACAGGATATAATATATATATTTATAAATGTATGATTTTATGTATTGTTCTAAAACAATAAACTGGAATCCAAATTTTAGAAAACCTAACCCAATAAATTGAGGTGTGTAACAGCTGAGAAAGAATATGGCTTTTCCTTTGAAATGACGAAGCTTCAGCATTAAGAAAGTTAAGAGAAAGAAAAAAAAAATGCAGACAGACGTACGAAAGGGAGTCACACAGTTTCAGAAACGAACATGGTGTTTGGAGAAGTTCACAGCTGCATTTCTATAAATTTTGTGCCAAAGTCTGGGTCAATAGTACTTCAATAACTGTATGTTGCGTTGTGAGATGTTGCCGTTTTATACCCGTGATGGTGTTATTAAATTGCAGAATTGTTTGTGGCCAGCAGGTGGCAATGTACTTCCGTATGCTAGAGAAAATCCTTTTTATCACTTCGTAAGGGAAAGTGTTATCATATCGAGAGAATTTTATAAAACGTATTAGTCTTAATTTTAAGGACGTTGAAGACTCACTCGGCGATGTTGTCTTTAAGTTCTATCTTGTGCCATAATGATGGAATAAAAAGCTAAGCAAAATAACGAGCATATTTTTTGCTCCTTTTTTTTTTTGAAGTAAGGTTTGTGTAAAAAATTGATGTGTTTTTATTACATTCTTGACTATCTTTGTCAAAAACATCCAAAAGGCTTAGGAGCTTAAGGGCCACTTTCAAATAAGACTTCAGTAGACAAGATCCAAGGTTTTAGTGGAGTTTTAGGCTTAGAATCAATCATCTAAAGAGTCTGCCCATCATATCTCCATTTCCCAGGTAAAGTTAAAAGATAAAAGCCCCAACCCAAGTAGAAAGGGGCAGGATTTGGCCTTTGACTGTTGTAGCGCTGTCAGGCTGGCCAGCTCTTTTTATGAATAATGCATTCAGAATAAATCCCGGCTCTCCTCTTCTGGTGGTTGCCCGACTTTTCCAAGTAACATCTCAATATGCTAGGAAAAGGTTCTTGCATGTAGCTCTGTATCAATTTATTACCCAAAAAAACCCCCACCCCAAATGAAAGAGAGAGTGGAATGTAAGGAAGGACAAAAACGAGCTTTCACAAGCAATCTTCACTATTTGATCTTGTAGACTTGCTAGGAAAAGGTTCTTGCATGTAGCTTGCTGCAGGAGCTCTGCATCAATTTATTACCCAAAAAAAAAACCCACCCCAAATGAAAGAGAGTGTGGAATGTAAGGAAGGACAAAAATGAGCTTTCACAAGCAATCTTCACTATTTGATCTTGTCTCAGTATTATCCCAGGCTTGATAGAGATTTGCTACAGGGAATTAAAGCTCCCTAATAGTCCTCAAAACGAGGCGTAGTGTAAATCCTGCTACAGAGGATACTCTGTCAGATTTGCTACAGGGAATTAAAGCGCCCTAATAGTCCTCAAAATGAAGCATGGTGTAAATCCTGCTACAGAGGATACTCTGTTTGCTGGATGTCCATCTCTTCAATATCAATCCCTCTCTAAATACAGAAGCACCTGCATGTTTTTATCGGTTTTAGTGAAAGATGTCTAATGATTACTCGGCCTCATAAAGAGCTTGCCTTTTGCCGGTACCTCTCCCTGTATGTATGTGTATATTCCCATCTGTATGGAGTTTATGCGAAAATGGAGAACCAAAAAACGAGACCACTGCTGGAGGACAACCTGGTCTGCATACGTTTCAATATGCAATTGCTTGGAAGAGAAGAAATACGGAATACATTCCAATTAAAGTAACACTTGCCAAGATCACTGAATTTCTGTCTGTTACTTTCATTTGAACAGGACAGAGCAAAATTATCACGAGCAGGTTAAGGATGTAATTTTTAGTTGTACCTCTTTCCAGGCTGAAATCAGTGACATCATTTCTTTTGATGTCGTCTTCTATGTTTCACAAGGAATGTAGCAATGAAAGGTTTCTCGGTTTATGTTAGCCGATAGATCTGTGTGGGCTATTCCACTTCAGATCTCTGCAATGTTTTTCTTCCTATGACACATGCTCTTGTACCGCCATAGTGTTCCTCTTAGAGGGAAAGGCTGTAGCGTGGGGATATCAAAGCCTTTTCTCTGACCCCGGGAGGGGTGCGATGTGCCCCAAGGACGGGGTGCCTGCAGGTTGTCCACGGAGCAGTGGTTGCTCTTCTCTCTTCTGTTGTAGAAACAACAAAATGAGAGGAATCAGTGCAGCTCTAGATACAAGCCGAATGTGGTGGGGAACCTCTGAGCCAAGGGCAAAAAAGGAAGAGCTCCGACTGTAAAATATTACTTTAAAAATTGCTGTCTTTTAAAACAGGCTGTGGTTACTCAGTTTGATTCACCCGTTCCAAGGCCGTGCTCCACTGCCGAGGGGTAAGTTGCACCCTCTCCCTCTTCGCCAGCCTCCTATCCCATCCCTTGCACCAGCTCTTGGAGTGCTGGGAGGAATCCTGGGCCTTGTTGCTCTGGCTGAAACTTGCCCTGCACGAGGAACACGTAAAATTGAGGTAGTTCAGTGGCTTTCGCAGGCGCAGGGGAGGAAAAGGGACAAGGTCAGTGATGAGGGAGAAGAAGAGGGTGGGACTGGCCACCCCCTCTGGCAGCAGCCTCCAGTTCGCCCTCTTTAAGCTGCTCACGCGATGCAGGGCTTGCTGCTTCAACGTGTCGGCAGGAGCCCGGCCAAGCGCTGAGAGCGGCTCCGTGTTACAGACCCAAGCCAGTCCAACTGCCGCCTTCGGTGCTTGAAATCTCGCAAGTGCTCTGCTGTCCGCATCGGGAGCCTGGGCTGCTACCGTGGCAGAGGTTAGTGCTGCTCGGGGTTCCTCTGCTGGTGAAATGGCGTGGTTCAATGGGCTGGAATTTGTCGTCGTTTGGTCTGGGGAAGGGGGGGGTCCTGATTTTTTACTGATTTTGTTGTTTCACAGGCATCGGTTGAGGTCAAAAACCTCAATTCCAGCTTTTCTGGAGCACCGGCTTTTTCTGTGGTGCTGGTCTGGCAGAGGGTCAGGGTCTTCATGATCCGAGGGCTGGAGCACCTCTGCTGTGAGGACAGGCTGAGAGAGTTGGGGTTGTTCAGCCTGGAGAAGAGAAGGCTCCAGGGAGACCTTGGAGCAGCCTTCCAGTGCCTA